AATTTTACTTTTCATTTTTATGAATATAAAAAATTACCATCATTATATTATAAAAAAATTATTTAATTATAAGTAAAATATTATTTTTTTTGAAATCATATTTCTTTAAGTTTTTATATTGTTTAACTCTTACATTAAAGGGATTCTTATTTTAATTTACTCTTAATTTTTAACCAATTCTAGCATGGACAATAATCAAGTAATTATTCAAGAATATTATTCTATTTATTATATTTATCTAGTAGTAGAGTTGAGAATTTGTACATACCTAAATTTTATTTTTAAAATTATTTTTAATTTTATTTTTACTTTAAAATTAATTATCTTAATTTATAAAAAATATAAATTTATTTTTTATATGAAAATGATTTATAGGACTTAAATTTTTTTAAACAAAAATTGGGTCTTAAAATATTAAAATATATTTTAAATATTATTTTGAGACATTTTATTGATTAAAAATAATAAAATATGAAATATAACTATTTTTATTTTTTTTAAAAAAAATAACTACATTAAAACACTTATATATTATAGTATAAATAAAATGATATAAAACTTAAAAAATTAATTATTATTTATCATAGTTTATATATTTTTTTAAAAGTTTTTTTTTATTTGGATATTCGGGCCAAGCCTGAGTCCAATCGAGCTTGGCCCAAATTTTTTCAAACTTATTCGGACTGCTTGAAAAGACCTGAGCAATAAAAAATAATGTTTTTTCAGGCTTGACTCTAAATTTTTTGGGCAGGTTCAAGTTTGATCCAAATTACTGGCTCTACCAAAAACGAGCACTTGATGTTCAGGACTTAATTTAATAATCATAGCATATAAATTAGTTTTCATAGTTTATTTTATCCAGAATAGATATTTATTTTTGTTAAATTTTTGGAGAGAGATATTTATATGAAATGCCTATAATTTTACAACCACATTTTCCTTCAAATTATAAATATATCGTTCTAAATTAGCTATGCTATGATGTCATTATTGTTGGAGCACCATTATAAATTAGCCATGCATTTTTCTGGCCGGAACACGTTTGCCATACGTTGATTAGGTTTGATCAACTAAATTCATGGAAAAATCATCAAACTTATGCACGCAATTCTTTATAAATTTTAGCTGTTTTCGAACAAAAGTGATACGCACCATGCCGGCCCAAAAAAGGAGGACAAAAAAATACACCGAGAGCCATGTTCATAATTTCTTGAAAATATAACCTATTGAGACCATATTTCAATAATTAAGAAGCATTGAATGGATAAAAATAAAGTTGGATGAAGTTAAATAAACATGTACATAACTTAACAAAATTTACAAAGTATCCAAAACAATCGTTTTATTTAAATTGGCGAATAGTGCTCTATATAAATTTTATATTTTATACCAACAACGATTGCATAAGATAAATTTTATCTTTTATCCATCTTATAGCAAGAAATTTTGCTTTCATATTTTTTAACAGAACAAGATAGTAATAACTAGAATTTGTACCCGTGCAAAAGTTTCATCATACATGATGTAAAATATTGTAGTTTTGAAAACATTAGTCTATTAGGTACTATTACAATAGTTTTTTCAATTTGTCAAGCAAAACTTCAACCTGTATTATTTTTTTCATTTATTTAATATTAGTTACTTATATATTATTTTAGGATGATTATATCATTTATTTAAAGCATGCAAATACAATTATATAATAACTTTGTAGATTTTAATGTATAAGAAAATATACAAAAGATATATGTCTCTCTTTTAATGAATGAAAAAAGTTATAGCTAAAAAATTTTAATGGTGAGAAAAATGGAACAATTTAAATTTCAACGGACTTTTATTTTGCTTATAAAAAAGATGTTAGATATTCAAGAAAATAAAATTTATATCTTATTAATGTGAATTTCATTTATATAACACTATCTTATCGAATTGATTACTTCTTATTTCACATGCACAAAACCATTATTGTATAAAAGTTTATATAATGAAAAAAATATGAAAGGAGAGGGTTACTCAAATAACAACAATTATACAATAAAATGTGCATGACTGCATGCAATGAATAAGGGATGTTAATTTTTTACTTAGTTTGAGAAAAGTAAAGGGAGGAATGAGAGATTTTAGTTTGATTTAAAAATATAGTCAAATAGAATTATAACATTTTAATAGAGAGAAAATGATAGAGAAAAGAAAAAAAGAAAAATTCATTAAAAACTTTCAACCATATTTCTCAGTTTTTTAAGACCAAACTCGTCAAAGTACAAACAATATATTAAAATGATCTCAAAAAATTTATATAACACTTGTCATTCTTTTTAATTTGTCAACTACATGTATATTAAAAAAAATATTAGTAGCAACCTGCAATTCAAAATTTATTATCCCTTACAAATTAAAATATAATAAAAAACTTGTTTTATTTTATATTTTTTATTTTGATATATGTTAAAATTATAAGTAATACCTTATTTTATTCTATAATCTTTCATCTCGTTCAATTTAAAACTTAATCTAAATAATAATTTAAAAAATATTTAGTAATTTACTAGAATTAAAAAATTTAACAACATACTGTGACTCATAATTTATTACCCCATGTATAATGCATTGTGTCATTTAAAAAAAATTTAAAATAAAAATGTAAAATAAAAAGGATAAATTGAAAATCTAAGAATTTCATAAAATTCAAAAAAATAAAAAACTAAAATAATAATGTTAAAAAATTTTTTATGTTGTTACTTTTTTTATAAATATATTTTAATAATTTATGATTAAAGATATTTTTAAAAATATATGTTTTTGAAAACAATAAAAATATTAAGTGTAACAGATGTGCTAATATTTTAACAACATTTTTTTAACATCATACTATAATTCAGAATTTATTAACCCCAATATAATGTGTAGTTATAAGTCATCTAAAAAAATGTAAAATAAACAGATAAATTAAAAAAATTTAAGAATGTCATAAAATTCACAAAAATAAAATATTAAAGACAATGTTTTATGTTGTAATTTTGTAATAAATATATTTTAATAGTTTATTATTAAAATATTTTTTAAAATGATTCGTTTTTTAAAAGAACAAAACTATTAAATACAATCGCTTTTTACCATAGATCCATAGTAAAATGAATATTTTACTGTATATGTACAGTTAAAAAAGGGTTACCAACAGGAGAGGCATGGCATGAGCTTGGGAGGAGCAATATGGTAATGCATTGTTCATTCACTATTCATTGATTGATTCTAAATTCATATATATGGAGAGAGATTCTCAGCTGTTTTTTGAGGTTTAAATAAACACACGCATGTGGATATGATAATATCAAGAATCTTAAAGACATTAAACCAATACAGAATTCGGGCCCTTCACGAAAGAATCCTGCGTAAAGCTCTTCGTAACACAAGTCAACGTTTTTGTGACTTTGATTAACGACCTCAGCTATATACAACATATACAAATAGAAAGTTAAACTGATATGAATAATCCAGAGAAAAATCACCTTACCGATTGTCAGTGCTATAATCGCATTGTGGATAATCATAAAATATTAAGCGGTTGAATTGAAAAGTCAAATATTGCTGGTTGAATTCCTTCCTTGTTACAAAGCCCAACCAACTTACAAAGCACAATGGTTGTAGGCTGCTTGGAAGAAGCTCGTTCCCATGTACGTCCAGGTTCCAGATATCGTTTTCACTGATAAAAAGGACTTGTCAATTTTTGTTGTTGTTTACTTTTTGCTTAATTTAGGTGTTTCTTATTTAAAATATTATATTATAAAGGATGTCAAATTCCTCATAAAATGTTTTGGTCAGTCATAGAGGGATTCAAAACTATATTGCCAAGTGATTTACTTTTTTTTTTTAAATGTTCTTTTGGTGGGGTCATGTAATTTCAACTCTTAAAATGCAGTTTTGTGCTATTTTGTGCCGTTTGTGTTTTATTTATTTATTTAATTATTTAATGATATTCCGATTTCAATGAGAAAATGTCCGGACAGTATAAACTCTCGTTCGGCGAGTGACAGTGAAGTTATAATAAAGTCCATATTATATAATCAAATTGACGAATATTCCTTGGTTAATTACAAATTAGCTTGCATATCTAGCATCTTCTCTCAGCTCTGATGTTAGGATGCAACTGGTAGAGAGACCTTTAAACCTTTTTTAAAAAAAAAAAACTGTGTAGATTTTTTTTTCATTCAAGGCAATCCTATTTAATATAGATCAAGTACTAAATATATACACATTTTATAACAAATACCCAAATATTAGTTTAACATGTTGTGGGGAGATACTCTTTTTCATTTTACTATACCTTTTATCCTCTGTGTGTGTGTGTGTGTAACCTTTTGTCCTTTTGATTTGTCCCAGTTTAATTTATACTTGTACGGTTTACGCCGTGGGTTTGTTATTTTAAAAACAATCATCAGATTGACAGAAAGCCCAAATTACACACCTTGCTCATGACCCAAAAAGTATTACACCGAAGTTCAAGGGGTACGTAGGGTACAAAATATTGAGAATAAAAAAAAGAACAAAATCAAAATAAATCGAAATATCACTATTTTCTAATATTAAAAACAAATAATCAAAACAACAATGACGGTAAAATATAATAAACATATAATAAATTATGTAGACATAATCACGTAGTAGTAATCATGACCGTTACAGTCCATGATAGGTCATTGCTTTTTTTCCCCCCTCTTACAATTACTCCGGATTTTGAAAGTTTGATGCAAGTTTCCTTGTTATGTACGTTTAGTGCAACACAGTTTTATTAATTGCTCAGTGCTTCCCACTTTTTCCCCTCACCAGATGCTCTGGTTTTAATGCACTGAGGTGAAGCTGAGAATACCCAACTTCTCATATTTTTCTTTTCTAAGAATTGCATTGCTTTTCACAGGGTAAATTTTCTGTTGAATGATCTGCATATACATACATGAGCAAATCTAATTTGAAAGAGAGCTTGCATAATAAACAAAAATCAAACAAACACAAAAGAAGCATGTTAGCAATATACAAGAACTAAGGATTATACATTCTTTTACCATAGTTTCTTGCAACCAAATGATCACCAAAAAAATTCGAGGGATTTACCGACTAACAAGTACTATTATCCTAAAAGCTAAGTTTACACGTAATTACACCGACACATAGTGAGCAAAAAATTTATTTCAGGTTAATATTAGCAGGAAGGCATACTCCAGGAGCTTGCTCTTCCACAAAAATCCCTTCACAGGTAACTAGTTTCATGAAATGCTTAGGTTCAGGCTGGTATTTCTGCAAGGCTTCATTGAAGCTCCTGCCGAGTACGTTTTCAACCCAATCCTCCACAGAATTTTTCTTCTCAGATAACCAAGCGGCTGCCAGTATCTGTATCACGACTTCATAGTCAATTTCCAGCTTAATCCCTAACCCAAATGTCCTCTGAAACCGTGAGCTGATGCTTTTCAAAATTTTCTCAGCAAGTGCATCAAAATTGAAGGGCTTAAACGCTATTCTGGCATCAAGTTGACCACAGAAATCATCAAACCATCCCTCTTCAACCTCCTGGAGAGGCATATTCAAATCTAGATAGGATCTGGATGTCTCTAGGGACTGTTTCGGTACCTTACATGTTGTTGCTTGTTCCATAGAGTCACTTCTGTCATTCAGTTTCCTTTTATTTATAATTGTTGGTTTGGAGGCCTCTTTTCCCAGTGTTACCCTGACATTTGTGTTAATGCTTCTTATGGTATCATCAGAAGAATGTCCGAGTAGTAACTGCATTTGATATCTTTTGGCTTCAAGGATTTTATCCTCAGAGAACATATGCTCCTTCCCCAGAAAGAAAGAGGGTTCGCCTTGGAACCTACTTGAAGTTACGATAATGATTGCATTATTGAAGCTGATTTCCCTGCCATGTGAGTCCGGAAATTTACCTGTTCTTATTGCCTGGAGCAAACTACTCTGCGCCAGAAAATCAGCTTTGTCTACATTTTCAAGAAACACAACTGAATGGGGTTGTTTGCTCAACTCCCCAGCAATATAGTCCACGACTGTCTTCCTCCAAAGTAAATCATGACAAATTGACTTTTGGCTTTCAAAAACTGCATTTAATGGGTAGCCTCTGTCTTGGGAACTCATATCCACAGAGATAAGCCTCTTAGTGTTTCCAAATATCTTCTCTGCAAGTGCTAAAGCAATTTTCTTCTTTCCAACTCTATCAGGACCAAGGAAAGCAAGCCATACATCTGCTCTAGCATGCGAGCCACTCTTCTTTCTGGTGCCACATCTACAGAGGGACATAGTTCGATTGACAACAGATATGGCCTCTGCTTGCCAGCTAACTCTTTCAGCAAGAAGCTGGTTAAGTGACTTGAAATCTATGGGATCCAATTTCCCTTCCATGGGACCAGAACAAGAAGAGGTTTGAGCAATTTGGTGCGACGTATTCTCATTCACAGCATCAAGATCAGCTGAAATGGAGTCTGAAAAATGCCTTATACTCTCTCTATGATCATTTACTTTCGGGGTATCCGGTTCCTGAGCTGCTGATGCATATAACGTTCCCAATCCCAAATCAGTGGTCACAGAAGTAAGGGAGGAAGATGATCTGTGATCAGCCTGACTCATATCAGCCACAGGAGAAGGGGCAACCCAAGGGTTCTGCACGTCAGTTCGCTGACTCTTTGAACCAACTACTCCCTTGTCAGTTCCCTTATTAATGACAGAAGTTCCTGAAGAAACTTGTAACATCTGCTTTGACGGGTTAATACTACATAACCCTTGAGGCATGTAGTTACTATGAATGGAATGTTGGATTCGATCAACTGGTCGATCTCTACCGCTGTTTTCTCTGAAACCCAAACCAAATTGTAAGCCATCAAGAGAGGGCAGTTGAGCCTTTGCTTGGGATATATTTAAGTCAGGAAATGACTCAGTGCAATGAAGATGCCGACAATTATCAGCCCACTTCTTTTGCAATCCCAACAAAGTAGCATTCAAACTTGTGGATTCTTCATTGGTCTGCATGGAAGATGAAGTACATCCTTAAAATAAATACATTCACAATTCAACAAACGTAAGTATGGCGGGTGAGGCAAAACATCGTTACTGGTAGCAGTTAGGAAGAAGAAACTGACAGCACTTCATGTAAATATTTACAAACATGTCACTTACAATCTTATTTTCTTAAACAAAAAAATTCAACAATTACAACTGTTCCGCATGAGCTCTCATATAAAGAATGAGAACTCTTCTCTCATTTCCTAATATTCTTCATGAATCCTCTTCAACCAATGCAGATGCCATTGTTAAGATCAGAGCTAACTATAAAAGAAAATCTACTTTTTAATGTATAATATCATTCTGTATACTAAATTACATTTCAGAAAAGCCCATGATCCCATTCAGTTCAGAAATCCATTACTGAAACAAAAATATATACATTTCTCAATTCAAAGTATAATCGGCAAGGGCACCACAAAAGAAAATTCAAGATATTTCCAAAAGACATGCTGCTATTTTATCTTGTTTGCCATATATAACACACTTATTGTTGAACACCCCTCTAAATGTAAGTCCATATATTTATTTTTCCTACATTGGATTAAGCACCACTGACAACCAAAATCTTTGTCTAATTAAAAGTGTGCGAGCACCCTTGTGAATGCCTCTGTATGAACTGAAAAAGAAAAACCAATACTTAGTGATCATGACTCACCTCAGCAATATCCAATCGTTTATCTTTATCCACATTAACCTGTTGCAACCAAGGCAAGCTTGTTGAGTGACTAGATGCTGAAGTTGTAGGACCTACCTTCAAAATATCAGCAACTTCTTGTTCATACTTCTCATTGCACGCATGGCAGCGAGCCAAAGATTGATTTGTACAGCTTGCTGGGTTTTTGAATTCAGGTGGTGTAGAAAAGAAACCACCCAATGGCACAAAGGACCCCATCAAACTGTAAGTTCATCATGAGCAGGGAACTGTGAGATCCATAGGCACGAAAATAAGTCAGATGCTAAATTGTAAGCTTTCGAAGAGACTCAGTATCATGAACTTTAAATGAAATATGTTAAAGATTGCATTAATTACCGCAATCAGCAAAAGACTGCAAGTTGAAATAATGGCCGTGATGGCACATGTTGGTCAACACAAGCACATCACGCATAACCACTGATTGGGCTTCATTAATGCATCTCATAAATTGCCAAAAGCTGCCAAGATTATAGATCACAATAATAATAAAAAAAATAAAACTGTTTAGGGCCAAAAGAAGAGAAGGCACGAGTGCAATTGGCCTAAACCCCATAAAACAAAACATTTCGAAAGCGGATTCAAAGCAATAGCTCCCGTTCCTGAAGGAAACCTTTTAGACAAATAAACCTAGCGGGTATCAAGAACAGCCAAGATCGCCTATTGCTTGTTCCAAGCCAGTAATACATTTAAGACACTAATTAGTGTAAATAATTTTTTCTAACACATCAAGTACTGCACCCGAAAATGAATTAAATTACTAATCTTGAATCGGGAACTTCACGGAGCTCTAAATCCTTAAAAAAACGAGTACAAGACAGAGCAAATTAGTGGCAAGGAAGATAAAGAGAACCCAGAAAGAAAAAAAAACATTTCAATTTCAAGAATAAGTCCGAAATAAGCGAAAGAATCCTACAATAAAGGCAACTCAGTCTCAGTAGCCAGAAGTCTTGAGTTACAAATCTAGTTTTTCTTTCCAGAGAAGCCACACATCTAGACATGTATTATATTTAATTCATTGAACCCAAGATAATTACAAAGTTAACCAACAAAACATAAGATACAGAACCCACCTGGACTCAGAGTAGAGACCCTCAATTGAAGGGGAGGCAGATGTCATGGTCAGAAGATGCAGATCCCAATCCTTTTCCACAGTTGGGAACATAGTTAAAAACTTGGAATATACAACAGAGGTTCCTGCCATGCCGACCAGCCATAATTTCTTGCCATGAATTTCCAGTAAGCTTGTCAACTGTGAGACCACAAAATTCACAGCAACACCAGGCGCACCATCCCCGACGAATGGCTCGAGCTCTCCGAAATTCACAACGATACCCGGACCTGAGCACTGCTCCACTGCTCGAGTCAATTCCTTAAATTTCAAAACCATCTTCTCTTCACAGCCACCTTCAATAAAAAATGCAGCAATCTCCCTCTCAATGCAAATCATCTTAACCCCAGCAATATCAGCCGGCAACATACCCACTCGACCTCTCTGTACAGAATCAGTGAATCTCCGAAGAGCACCCTTCGCGTAAGCACCCGTCAGCAAGGGATTTTTCTTAGTCTTCCTCACAAAAACCTCCGCAATTCTTCTACAATTCTCATCTCCATCTTCGCGTCCCGGATTGGCCATGAAAGGGAAGTTGAAACCTGAACGATCCATTTCCAAACCTGTTAGATTGCCCAAAAATAAAGGTGGGTAACGGCTCCGGAAGAATCGAGCCGAAGCTTGCGCTATAGGCGGTTGAAGCAATGCAAGCTTGATGTCACAGCTTCGAAAACCAGCTTCCCCGAAAACTCTGTTCACAATCGGATCATCGAGAATGGACAAGATGAAGTGCTTGAGCTCCACCTTCAAAAACGAAGCCGTTTGTTGTTGCTGATGCATATGCATCTGTATCAGATGAAAACTCTCTGGATGCCTCCTCTGGTTCGCCTGGGATCGCTTAATAGCGGCCATGAGTGAATTGGATATAGGAGGGTCGTCCTCGAGAGCCTTGGTGGTGGGCAATCGATCGAGAGACACACCCACAGAGAGCTCCAAAGCTTTGAAGTGGAGACGCGGAGAATACGAGCAGCTACGCGCGCGAGTGCAAGCATCCCGGAGAGTGGAAGAAGGCAAGGCGAGCAAGGCAGAGATAGCATGAAGCGAAGTTGTCTGCGCATGGTTGCGGCGACGAGCAACCGCTACGGCGTCGTCCAAAGCACGAGCGGCCTCCTCCGTCAAGCATTGCCTTGCTGCGCTGACCGGCGTCGGCATCGCCGGCGAGCATATATGCACTGTATTTATATGTATCTATATATGCGGAGTCGCCTGGCGAAGAAGCGGCTGGATTTGGACTTTTTGCAGTGAGGTAATAAAAAATTGTTTAGGATAAATTATTAGAGCGAGTACGCCAATACAAGGAGAGAAGCAGAGCAAGAGAGAGAGAGCGCGAGCGAGAGAGCAAGATTGTTGGGGTTGATGATGGCAGCGGGTGATGCTTTGTGGGTTACGAATTACGATGAAAGAGAGAGAGTGCGAGATCGCTGTGGTTGATGATGGGGGTGGGTGTTGGGACAGAAGATGATGAACGATAGTTTGTGGGTTACGAAGTTGTGGATTGCCATAGTTGACGTGGGACCCTTCTTCTTCTTCGCTTTGGTCTTGAATCAAACACATGGTGAGCATAGATTCTGTGTTGCTCCACTCGCTCTCGCTCTGTGTGTCATGGAAGAAGATCTTTATATTTATTTTTTTTGGGTGATGAAGGGAATACAAGAAAAGGAAGAAGATGAAGATCTCTCTATACTGAAATTCTATTTCTTTATGAATTTTTCTCAAGTGCGTGTCTTTCACTGTGATTAAGAGAGAGACAGATGCCGTGCCCATTGCAGCGAATTGGGCCAACGAGTGTCAGTGTCAAGCTTTTGAGCCTGAAAATGTCCTTTTGATCTTGTCTTTTCCTTTTTGGATGGCCTAAAAAGGTTATTTCCATGTTTTCAGTAACATCACAAATCACAAATATACTCTATAGGAAAATTGCATAGCGATCATAATATTCCTAATGTTAATTACATAGATATTGATGATTTAAAGGTATCTAATTTAATTATTTATATAAAAAAGGAAGAACTTAATATAAAAAATTATCTCTATTTGGATAAATCAGTTAATTAATATTTATAATATATATTTGTATTTTTTTTTTTGCTACTCAAAACAATTATTTGTACATTTATTGGTTAAACTTTTGTGTAAAGAAGTATAGATATACAATTAAAAAATAAAAATAATATAAAAAGATAAGAACAATGCCTTTTGAACAAAAGTCACACTTATTCTAGGAAAAAAGGTTTTTTATTTCTGAAAAAAAGTGGTAATGGCAACCAAAAATGAAGATTTGGTTTAGATACGGTGAGGGTAAGGAAAGATACATACAACGAATAGTTAATGGGAAATTTGATATTAAAGTTGTCCGTGTCAAAGGTCAATGATGTTTCCTTTTGTAATTATGCGGACGCATTCTAGTGGGGATATTTGACTAACAAAGGAGAAAATGCTTGGGATTATTTATTTATTGAGTGACGATAAGTCGATAAGAAGCACTATCTTTATTTTAATTGTTTATTCATGTCCTGATATGTTTGAATTTTACTGTCATCATTGGCTTCCGAATGTCATACTATCCCTTTTGGTTGTTTCTGCCGTAGTCAGTGTAATTCCATGTATAAATAACTCATCCGATAATAATTATGTCCCGCTTAAATATAAATTTTCAGATTCGACTCCGTGTGTAAATAATGTATTTCTAAGTTATCTACTCTTGTTTGGGAATCATCAGTACTCAAATTTAATCCAGATATATCAGATATTCAACACCGTGTAAGAAAAATATTTAGATATTCGCAAGTTTATTTATTTCCTGGCAAATAAATAAAAACATCAACAATAATACCAATAATTTAGTGCATTGATATAAATTATAACACAATCAATCATCTTATCTATATAAGTCGTGGATAGATAAAAACATTGACAGTCGCTACACTGGATCAAATTGTTGACTGGATTACATTTTGGAACCCGTATATTTCAGCTTATTTTATTAAAAAAATTACTTATTCTTTTGAAAAATATTTATTCTATAATTTTTATGATATTTTTAAAAATGAAATCTAAAAAAATATTTTGATTATTTTAAAAAGCTATTTTGAGTAATTTTTGAAAATAATTTAATGTGATAGATGATAAAGGGTGTGTTTAAAGAGGTGTAATGGCAAATATATTATAGAATAATAAAATAATAAATTATTTTTATAAAATAAAAATTAAAAAAGATATAATAAAATTTAAAAATAACTCATTAATAAATAATTTTTATCATTATAATTAAACATAAAATAATATATGCCTTTTTAAAATTTATTTTGCCCGGAACACTGTGGTGGGATGCCGACACTCCCATATCATTTTAACGGTGATGCATGCGACCAACCACTGAGAGGGAGGGAAGTTATGGACCTTAACGCCATAAGTGGAGACTTTCACTAAGAATGGCATTAAGGTGGTGATGTATGCACTGCCTTTCACCACACATGGATTTTCTATGAATCAGAGACCAAGTGTTGAGTTGTCGTTAGGATGAATATTCGGTCAGTTCGATTTTAATTTTTTTAAAATTAACTGATTAAATTATATATAAAATTTAGATTGAATCGGAACAGAATACATAATTAAATTGAATTAAAATCAAATCAAATTATAATAGTTTAATTTGATCAGTTTATTCGGTTCATAGGCTTTGATTTTGGTTTACAGAGTCTAATTATTTATATATTTTTTATCCATTTTTTTCCCTTGATATTGAAGGTCCAACAAAAAAATAACAATTTTATACCATAATTTATGAAAAAATTAATAAAATTTAATATTGTTACATTAAAACTAAACTATAAAAACAAAAAATTAGAACATCACATTAAACAAAAAATACTATTATTGTAAGTGGTAGAAAGATATTTTTTACTCACTTAGATGAGAATTTATTCATATTTTTAAAAAATATAAAAGAAAAATATATATAATTTAGTCGGCTCAGTTTATTTGGTTCAAAAATTTTCAAACCAAATCAAATTAATTAGCCAAATTTTTCTTACAAAAAGACCGAATCAAAATAAAAAACTAAATAAATTGAATTAAATAAATAAAATTTAATTCTGTTTTGCTCACTCCTAATTGCCGTCACTAACAATGACATCAGCCGATTCAGCATTTGCCGTGGCTAGGTGCCAAGGTTGAACGAGGATGATATTAAGGAAGGAGGGAGCACATGTCAGAGGCGGATGGCCATCGAGGAGGATGGGGAAGGTGCGAAGTGCGAATGATGTTGTTGGCCTTGGCTTGAGGATGAAGACGAAGACGGATTTAAAATATTTATTCCTCTCAACCTCAGGCTTGTCCGGGCTGTGAAGCAAGTGCAAGTGATCTTTCTTTTTCTTTTTTTTTTCTTTAAAGGAAAAGGCAATAAAAAACATGTATAAAACATAACATCCTACTCATAATAGAGTGGAGGTAGGATATATTAATGATAACAAAAGAAAGATAAAAATACTAAAATAGAGAGATCAGTTTTTGAAAGAATACTAGCGATGGTGAAGGAGGTGCCTCTTGCGATGGTTTTAGGAGCATAATCTCCGGCAAGGGCAGAGAGGATGGAAATTGAAACGGCTCTTGTAGGTCTCGAGGCAACACAAGAAATGCCCTTACTCAATGCTAACTTATGCTTAATTTCCTTTTTTAAATGAGGTGATTTTAATAAATGCACATCAAGGTCCATGGGACTTAGGAATTATTTTAACATTTTGTGGAATTTCTTGATAATTTGAATCTCTTTAGGACTTCAGTGCGGTTTCCCCTTTTTTACTCAACTTCTATTTACTCGATATAATCAAAATTGCAAGAAGTGTCTCTGGCTAGTAGGCGAAAACAAAATTACGCACTTTAAAGTGAGCCAAGGAAGTATAAATCAAGGAAAATCAAAATCTCTTATTTTTTTTAATTAAAAATATAAAATATTTTTAATTGAATCTTATTCACAAATAAAATAGTTATTTACTTTCAAACTAACCTTATATTTATATATTTATCTTTACTAAACATCCTATAATAAATATAAAGTTATTATTAATACGAGCATTTAAAAAAAATAATGATTACACCTCAAAAGATTTAAAAATATATTTTTAAATATTTAACTTTTTAAAAAATATTTTATTTTTTTAAACTGAAAGAGTAATTTATAAGAGATGACACCAATAAATCAAAGTCTGAACTCTGAAATACAAGTCAATTCATTGAGACGCGAGAAATGGATTGGGTGAGGTAAGTTAAACCACCTTGCCTCCTTGACGAGTTGGATAAATTTCAGCCCAACTCACTGTACTTGCCAATATAATTTTGTTCATTTTAAAATATTTTCATGTTTCTTTCAACTTTTAAATTGAGTTGCAAATTTTTATAGGTTAATTTCAAGGTGTTTTCATAGCTTCATAAATCCATATAATTAAATTAATCCTAAAACTTGCAAACATTGGCATGCACTCTATTACATAATTATTATATTATATAGAAACGATAAAATAATAAAGAAACATAAATCAAACATGTAACCAAGCTTTTTTCATTATAATTGAAATTAAAAAATAAAAAAAGAGGTAAAATAACAATAATTTAAAAAAAGTGCCAGACACCCAGACCACATTTTTGATAGGTGTTGGTTGAGCTATACTTGCCTGCCTTTAAATAGGTTGGTATTTTTCCAGCCTAACATATCATTTTTTTGTATGAGTTAAGTATTGGATGTAACTTATTTTTCAACCTCCCGTCTCTTCCATATTTTAGAATATGTGTTTTTTTAGATCAAATTTAGATAATTAAGATGGAAAATATAAAATGATGAAAAAATGGTTTAACAAATTTGAAAATTTTAATTTAATTAGAACGAAGTAGATTGAGAAAAATAAAGAGAGCACGGGAATATAAAATGGCACGCAATGTTGATTATATTTGTCCAAGTCAGTTTTCATGCATATACAGCTACATGTTACATTATCAAGGTACATGATAATAATGGTAGTTTTCTAAGCGGGCAACATCAAATGTTGTCTATCCTGAAATTTTTTGTAACTTAGCATGACTATTCTATGTTTGATACTTGTAGTGTTTGTGATCCACCTAATTTTGATATTGTTAATTTACATTATTAGCTGTTACTATTAATGAGTGCTTTGATCATTAGCACTTGAAGCTAGTTGTGTTAGCAATAGTTTGAAAACATGATTGCTAGTTTAAGCAACAGTGAGAGTGCTCCACTTAGTTCGGGCCAAAAATATTGGAATTTCACACGCGCGCGCGCACAAATATCAATGGAAGAGACGAATACGCAAATACAATGCACTAAGAGAGACATCGCTTTCATCCAACATTCTACCTGGGTTACATTTTTTCTTAGAATGAGAAAATAAATAAAAATATAAAGGCTTTAAATATATGTTTGATGCTCCAATAAAATTAAATGAAATGTTTGCATGCATTTCGTTTGACATGTTATTTACTTATTTTGGTCCTTCGGTTTGATCTCTTGGAATGAATTTATTTTCATTCCAAAAATAATATGAAATTAATTAAGCATCAGATGTCCTTGATTGAAGTAAATAATTTTAAATCAAGAGAAAAAAAAAAAAACTGTCTACAATATGCCTAACATCACGCTA